TAGTGGTGGGTGCTACCCATAGACATCTACGAATATGTGGCCGGTGGCCGTAGAAGGAAAAGGGAAGACCTCCCACCAGGCAAGGTGTTCTGTCCGGGGAGCGGCCAACGCTCCGTTTGATAGTTTTTTTTTTTTTTTTTTTTGCGCCCGAAGCAATTAAAGGGCTACCCTGTACGTAGGGAGGCGGAAAATGCATTACGCATACCACGATAGCCGGTCTATCGTGGTTATGGGGGACTCACTGTCCTACCGGGGACCCTAAGTGATACCCCCTAAAAACCGCCTTTAGGGACAGGCAACCGGCTGATTAAGCTCTATTGTGCCTTATCATGAGCGACCCTCTTTTGGGAAAAGAGGGCGCAGGCGGCTAAGTGCCGCTGAGGGAGTGCCTACGAAGGCAAATTAATGTCAGATATTACAATAATTTTATTTAATTAGAGTTGGCCTGAGTTGCCAGGAGACAGTTCAGGTCGTTTGAAAGTTTATTAGGCGGGTCCGAGAGAGAGTTTCTCGGCCTGCGGACACGATAGCGAGAGGGGGGGTGGGGCTGCATAAGAAGCTGCCTCACGAATTAAGTGGTTTGGGTGCGACTCTGAGGCTTTGAAGAAGTTCTCAGAGAGTTTTTTTAAAAAATTGTTGAATTGTTGGGAGCTCTAAGTCCCGATGAAGGTCGGCATTGCGGACGTACCACGGTGCGTTCGCAGCTCGACGACAGAATAGGTTCTGAACTATTTGGAGTTCATTTAAAATGTTAGGGTTTGCGTGGGCAAAGACGGGGCCCGCGTAGGACATGACTGGTCGTATACATACCTTATAGAGTGTACGCTTGTTTCGAAGGGACATTTTACTGTGTCGGCCCAACATACTGTTGAGCCTACTCAGATAAAAACGTGCGTGACGGGTTACTCTTTTGACGTGGGGCTTGAAAGTGAGCCCTGTGTCTAGAGTGACACCTAAATATTTGGCGGACGTATGCCAGGGGACAGGGGTCCCTAGCATACGTATTGGTGGAGTGTTTTTGAGACGGCGTCGTTTATAATCGAAGTGAACGGCGGAGCTCTTCTCCGGGTTCACATCGATGCGCCATTTTTTGAACCAAGCTCCTAGGTCATCAACTGACTTTTGGATCTTGTTCCGTATGAAGGGTAGTGAGACACCTTTGCAGTAGATGGCAGTGTCGTCTGCAAAGAGGGAGAGTTGAACACCTTTCGACGGGATGGGAATGTCGTTGGTGAATATGATGTACAGCAGAGGAGCAAGTACTGAGCCCTGAGGGACACCAGCCTTGATAGTTCGCTGTGAAGAGAGCGTGCCTTCGTGTCTGAAACGAAAGGTACGATGTTTTAAATAGGAGGCCACGAGACGAACTAGACGATCGGGGAGACCTATTTTATAGAGCTTGTAGATAAGGCCTGTGTGCCAGACTCTATCGAAAGCTTTGGCTATATCGAAAAAGACCGCGATGGTCTTATGACGACGAGGATAGTCGAAGCTGTTCTATATATACTGTTTATGATACGGAACTTTGATAGCGCGATTTAGGCTTCGGTGTGTTTCGCTTGTGGCGCGACGACAGCGCCGCCACATCACCTCCCCCTGCTCAGACTTGAAGATCGACAGTGCAGTCCGATCGCCGGTGCGTCCTTAATGCCGGTGGGGAATGCATGCTGTGTGCGTAAGGGCAAGTAACACAGGTGCGAATGATATGCCGATGTGTATTGCATGCCGTACTACGCTGTTAATGATTCGGAACTTTGATAGCGCGATTTAGGGATGATTCTCATTAGAGCAAGATGTGCCCGGGGCGGAGCCCGGACGGGGCACGGTTTTAATCTGTTACGTATATTTTGTATGAATCAATTTATATTACACAGTGCATTATCCGTGTCCCATCCGGGCCCGCTCGACGCACTTCAATACCACGTTTGTTGCACGGTCCCGTTCTGCCCCCCTCCACGTCCCGTCGTAATCCGAACATTCTTCTGTGCTGCGTCCGAGCACTGAGCGACGAATGATGTGAGGGTACACGCACGTGCAAGTTTGTTTTAGAGAAGATTTTGGAAACTGAGTTTATTTTGTTGCAATATTATTCCATCCATGACTTTGCGGATAATGGATGATGAAAAATTAATTGAACAAGTCCGAAAGTATCCGGAGTTGTATGACATGTCCCATCAAAAATATATGGATACAAAATTGAAAATGTCATTATGGACGACAATTAGCAATGAATTAAATGAAACAGGTGAGTATGTATTTTAATCAATTTATTTAAGAATTACTCATATAGTTTTTTTAGGGTTATGTTTCCTTAGGTAAAAAAAAAATTTCGAAGACATGTGAAGTTCGCCAACACGCATTGGGGCAGCGCGGCGGACACTTTGCCCTAAAACCCTCTCAGAAATGAGCGGAGGCCTGTGCCCAGCAGTGGGACGTATATAGGCTGTAACTTTCCTTTACTTTACTTTTTCCTTAGGTTCTATATAAAACAAAGTAAATCATTTATTGCAACTGTAAACACACATACATATATTAAACCACATACAACAATGAGGAATACAATCAATATTCGTCTATTATTCGTACAAATACTTACGAGTATACTCTGTTCAAAATGCAGTTAGACAAAATGTAAACAAAAAGATAACCTAAAACGTATTTTTTATATTTTAGTAAATGTATTTTTTATACCTAGATCATATTAGAAAGACTACTTAAGAGAAAGGAAACAAGATTTTATTCAAATCTGCACGACGTCGTATCAAAAAAGTTTGTTCTTTTTTTTTCATTATGTATCACTGCATTTTGAACGGAGTTTATTATTTGTTTATTTTTAAGATTTTTTTATTTACTATTTGTCACTTAAGACGAGGATCTATGCGAAGGTGCTGCCCCCACTAGAAATAAATCATTTGACATGAAATTCAATGTCGTATCAGTTTTAGTACCCGGTTGACCGAGCTTTGCTCGGTATTTTTCGCTCGGTTTTTTTTAATTCGTGTGTTTTGGAAATTATATTTAGATACAAATTACATACTGATGAAATACGAATATTAATTTGGTCGATAAATTTTCGCCTAGGACGTCCCTTTCCGACTCTGCCATTCACTTCTGCAACATAAATTTTCTTTGTCACTCTTTCCTCATTCATTCTTTCCACATGACCAAACCACCGAAGCATTCCTTTCTTAATCCTAGTCACAACATCATCTTGCAAACCACACTCTTCTCTTATTACACAATTTCTTACCCTGTCGTTCAGATTTTTGATTACAGTGTTATTTTTTGATCTTAGCGACATAATAGAAAAAACTGAACTGGTTATTTGAAAAAAAAAATCATGAGTGCAGTTAGCTTAATTTAAATTTTCGTGTTTTTAAAAAATACTAAAAAAAGGGCTCGAAAAAAATAGATTTTCTCAAAAAAAGAAAGGAACTTGAAAAAAAATTTAAAAAAAGTCGCTCGAACCATGGTATTACGATTTTGTGACCGCCCAATATACCAATTAAGCTATATGTAATCATTAATAAACTGTCAAAATTTACCTTCTTATCCTAACGATATTGTAGCAGTTTTTCATTGCCTAAAAACACGGACAAAAAGACATGTTCTAAAAATAAATTCTATCTAGATCGATTTATTGCCCCCGAAACTCCCTGCACACAAAATTTTATGAAAATCGTTGTAGCCGTTTCCAAGATTCCGATTATATATATATATATATACAAGAATTGCTCGTTTAAATGTATAGGATTTATTACTTGCAACATATTATTATGTACTACTAGCAAATATGCTTTTTTATGTACCTTTATAGAAAACTATAATACTTATGATTGTTTATTTTTGTTTGTTTGTTATCTTTTTTGTACAATCAGTTATGGGATATATGTGTCCAGACTGGTATACTGTTTAGTATGGCAACCTGGATACATATAAATCCTATAACCAATTGTACTTATTAAAAATATCCGGATGGTGATGAAAAGTAGTTCTTAAAATTTTCTCTGACCGCAAATGCATCGTTAGTATATTGTCTGTGATGTTGTGGTCCTAGTGGATTAATAATAGACTGCCTTAATTCTGATATAGATTGTTCTGTATAACGTGGTATAAAAGCCATGTCATTTTTTGCTGCGTAAAAAGTTATGAAGTATGCTAGTCGCTAATATAATATTATCAACATTTTTTGGCGCCATTTTGATTCTTCTAAAAAACAATCTGAATGTTTGTGCCAAAATACCAAAAGCACATTCAACTAGACGTCGTGCTAGCGTTAATCTGTTATTAAAATGTGACTTAGCAGCATCTCCTACTATCTGGCTACCTGGGTAAGGTCGCATTATATAAGTTTTTAAAGTAAACGCTTCATCGGCTACTATAACGAATGGTGTAATAATATACGAGTTAGGTAATTGCCTTGCTACAGGTACATTTAGTGTTCCATTTTCTAGTCGTTGTCCTAAAGAAGACTTTGCAAAAATGCCACCATCACTATTTCTTCCATATGATCCAACGTTAACTGTAATAAATTTGTAACGCGCGAAAACGAGCGCTAAAAGTACGATGGAAAAAGTGTTCTTATAGTTATAAAATATAGAACCGCTATTAGGTGGCGCCTCAATGACAAAATGCTTTCCATCCAAAGCCCCAATACAGTTACGAAATTTCCACAAAGTTTCAAAGTCATGTGCTATCTGTTTCCAATTATCTTCTGACGGTTGGGGCATAACTTTTTTTAGAAGTACATTAACAATAGCAAGACACGTGCTGTTAACAATTTCATGGACGGTTGTATGAGCCAACCGAAAACTGAATTAAATAGTCAAGTAGGAATCTCCAGTTGCCAAGTATCTGAAAAACAAGATTTCAAATTTTAAATATAAAGGGAATACAAATCACATAAGTTTGAGACCTGTGTTAGAGAATTCTTACTTTACAATACTATATTAAATAAATAAATATTTTATAATAAATACATAAACAGATAAACGTCTAAAATGCTGAAAATTTTTCCAACTTGCTCAACTGAGATTCAAATCGTGGACTTCCAAATGGTAAATCGAGCATATTTTTTCCGTTTCACTATGGAGGTCCTCTACTTAACTATTAATATATTTATTAATCTATTTAACGTCTATTAACTCGACATTTACAAAGTTATCAAAATGTTATGTTTATGATCGTTTGTTTCAGCTACCGCTTGTAGATCAAGATGGACGAATATAATGGACCAATTTAATTTTTTTTTAAATAAAAGACAATTGAAAAGCGGCCAAGCAGCAGTAAAATTAAGGAAATATAAATACGAGGATGTGCTACAATTTTTGGTTGTACATTTAGAGGACAGAGAAGTGATCGAAAATATTTCTAACGACAATGAATCTGAAGAGACGTCTCAAGATTATACGAACACTCCAACAACTGCAATAAATGAAACTCCAACTACTGCATTAAATGAAACTCCAACTGTTCCATTAAATGATAATCCAACAAACGTACTAAATTATACTCCAGCAAATTATACACCTACAACTTCACGTAATTATCTCAACTTACAAGTACATTAAAAAAAAGTCAAGCTTGTGCTCGTCCGCAGAAGAAAACGACCTCACAACCTTCGTCTTCATCATTAGAACTTTCGGCTTCTGCTTCACTAATGTAATATATTATTGATAACAAAAAAAAAACAAGGAGGAAGTTGATCATATCGATGCTTTTTTCAAGGGCTTGATACCGACGGTCGAAAGATTATCCCCCTATTATCAACACTTAGCAAAAGGAAGAATATTCCAAGTTGTTCAGGAATTAGAATGGGAATGGTTGAGCTCTGATCCCCAATCTTATACGTCACCAACATCGGGTTCAGTATCTCCAGCAGTATCTACTCCGACACCCCCGCCGCCACCGCCACCACCATTGACACAACAAGAGGATAATTCTTTAGACACAGATCTATTGGTTGAAGAATCATAAAATAATATAAATATCTTACATAGTAAAAAGTTAAATAAATAATTCATTTCTAGCATACCTAGTAATTATTTGTGTTGTAATACATAATAAGTACAATAACATTATCTATTTATTTTATAGTGATTACCTGAGACATACTGCTAAACGTTGTTTGGGTTCTATTGGTGTCTTTAATCTCGTCTAATGTCTTCTAAGGGCGGGCTTCAGCGCATTTAAAAATAAAATAAAGAAAAAAGAAAAGTAAAATGTCAAAGTTTTCTTTGGACATTCTAAAATATCCAAAGAATTTATCTTCATCGTCTGCTAAGTATCTGCATAAATTCTTTGTGTTCTTTGTGTGAAAGGTGTTAAATTTTCCGTTAAAATTACGCATTCTCCAAAGAGGATGCACACTCCACTTTCGTTTAGCCCGTTTCTTCTTACTCCTAGTTTCTGCTTCCTCTTCATCAATAGCTATCGCAATAGCAGCCATCTCCAGTAAAGAAAACTCCATCATTTAAAAAAAAACAATAATCGGGAGTTATTCACATCACTACACTACCTCGAAGCGACTGTGGCGGCGTATTAACCCGTTTAACACTCGGTGTAATATAAATTGCGTAGCACGGACGGGCCCCAGCTCGTCCACGCCCCGGCCCTGGCACGGCCCGCTCTAATGAAAATCATCCCTTAGGCTTCGGTGTGTTTCGCTTATGGCGCGACGACAGCGCCGCCACATCACCTCCCCCTGCTCAGACCGGAAGGTCGACAGTGCAGTCCGATTGCCGGTGCGTCCTTAATGCCGGTGGGGAATGCATGCTGTGTGCGTAAGGGCAAGTGACACGGGTGCGAATGATATGCCGATGTGTATTGCATGCCGTACTACGCTGTTAATGATTCGGAACTTTGATAGCGCGATTTAGGGATGATTCTCATTAGAGCGAGATGTGCCCGGGGCGGAGCCCGGACGGGGCACGGTTTTAATCTGTTATTTATTTCCGTTCCGTATGTTCGACTGCCAAGTTCAAAGTGACGCCATGCGTCCAAACGGAAGTATTGTCAATGGTACCGTATCCGGATAAATTTTTATTTGGGGTGCATCCATTTGGAAATCTACTAAATGGAGGTTTCTTCGGTGGGTACCTTTAGATTTGTCTTAATAAGGTTTAAAATGTTTCTCTTTTTAGTAAACTACGCAGTCTGGGATTTTGTAAATTACTGTTTTAACCTTTAAGCTTGTTAGTATTTGCTTAACCTACCGTAGTAGAAAGAAGAAGAGTACTCTTAACCGATGAGCATGTTGCGTTGGTAAATGGATGTAAAGGAGGCAAGAGAGGTGGGTCAGGATCGTGGCAAATGCAAGTCCGTAGTCTCTACCTACTCCTATAGGTGACAGACGTGAGTGTTTATGGCAGAACTCCATTAGATCAAATTTTGCATTTTAAAAGGAGTTTTGGACCTGTGGTGACAGTAAGGGAAATCCTGAAATTTTACATGGTAAAGCCATGCTGCAGTTAAATTATGGTTGTAGCACGAATGGGTCGGCTTGAACGAGGCAGGACCACTCTCTTACGGAACACCACCATATGTAACACAGCAGCTTAATACTGCTGTGTTGCGTATGGTGAGTGTAGAGAAGCGGAGACTCTTTTTACTGGATACGAGGCATTCCATCTTAGTCCTCAGGGGTGACATCTCTAGTATAAATGTAGATGTCTATGGGCCACAGTATCCACTTACTATCAGGGGACTGTTTGCTCGTTTGTTACCATTGATCTATCAAAAATAATTCTTATTCTTTAGGTTTGTAAGAGATAACGGAATGAGAATCTCGTCATTATACCTGTCTAAAATTGCTAGACCGTCGCGTTTAGTACGGCAATTGCTGATTTGCTTGACAAGATCGACATATTTTTTCTACTATAGGAGGGATCCATGCCCAGCGGTGGTCTACGAGCTGATGACAAGTGACTCTGAGTTCTGGCCTGTGAACAAGGATGCAGGTGGCTCAGGACCGTGCTTTGTGACATTCCTTAGGAGAGCTCTATGTTCAGCAGTGGACTTGTGAAAGGCTGTAATGATTATGATGACTCTTAGGAATAGGTTTAATTTTGGTCAGTTTCTGAGGATCTGGAAAAATCTTAGTATGAATGGATACGTTTATTATTCCTGTTATTAAAGGCAATGTTACCGGTAATGACATACACATGATATCTATATTTATTAAATCATGTCCACTGGCTTTAGTTCCAATTGCTGTAACTATTTTATAAACCTCGGATACCGCTGTTGTTGTAATATTAAATTCAATGTTGCTATTAAAGTAATAAAAAGTACTTTTATCCATGTTGTTATCTCCTGGCACTTCTGTAAAATTATTAGTAGTATCGGGATAACAGAGGTGTGATGGTACGCATATTTGGCATGGTCTCCTTCAGATGGATTCGCATAGTGTTTGGATTATCCCGATTTTTTTTTAAATAAAATACCTAATAAAAATAAGCTGAACTTTTTCTATAGATTGCGCTGTTTACTAAAATTCTGAGACTCCTTTTCTGAAATTCTGGCACGATTATGAGCAGAGTCGCGGAGTGTCATCAATAATTTTACATTGTTTGTAACCTAAGGTGTTAGTTTTCTTTTTCACTTAATCAGTTTTAAAGGTGCGTGTGTATCAAAATCGTCGAGCAATATACTGCTAAACTGTTGAACTTTTTTGTTGATATTATTTTCAGTTATAGTATTATGCCAAGACAAATTTTCAGGTTTATATGCTGTAACAATTGAAAAAACTTCCTCTGCGAGGCAACGTTAGTTCGAGCCATATCGTAGAACCTAGGAACCTTTTTTTTTATAGAAGAGGGGTCAAACGAGCATGCGGCTCACCTGATGTTAAGTGACTACCGCCGCCCATGATCAACCGCAACACCAGGGGAATTGCAGGTGCGTTGCCGGCCCTTTAGAAAGGAGTAAGCTCTTTTCTTGAAGGTCCCCAGGTCGTATCGGTCCGGAAAAATCGTTGGTGGTAAACTATTCCAGAGAGAGGTTGTACGCGGAAGAAAACTCCTCTTGAAACGTACAGTGGTGGACCGCCAAGCATCCAGATGGTGTGGATGGTATTGGGACGTTTGCCGCGTAGTGCGTTCACGAAATTTGGCGGCTGGGATTAATCCGAACAATTTCTCAGAGCACTCTCCATGGTATATGCGAAATAAAATGCAAAGAGATGCAACATCTCTCCTCAGTGCCAGTGAATCGAACCGATCGGAAAGCACTCGGTCGTCGATGATTGGAGCCGCTCTGCGCTGGATGCGGTCAAGTGGAAGGAGCTGGTACTGGGGAGCCCCAGCCCAGAGATGGGAACAGTATTCCATGTGCGGCCGAACCTGCGCCTTGTAAAGTCGCAGGCGGTGTGCCGGCATGAAATACTGTCCCGCTCTGCTGAGCACGCCAAGCTTAAAACCTTCTGAAAATTTTCCAATTATACTGACGTTATAAGAGGATCCAGCAAAAAAAAATTAACGTACACGAAAAATAAAACGAAATAAATAATTAAATTGGTCACAATCCCTCCGTTATTGTTCTTGAAGAAGACATTGAAATCGATCCAGCTTTGGAGAAGGAACCAGGGAAATACTATGATGGTGAGAAATCTTTACCTCAAATTTCTAACCGCCTCCTCCATCCTCTTATAGAACGTAAAATTAAAAGTAATTGTGTACAGATAAAAAATATTAATTTTTATTTAATTTAACAAGTACACTTCCAATACACATATATGACAAAATCACTAAAATATACACATTTATATACTCTGTGAGTGGTTACACACATATATCAATAACAAGTTTACATAATGGACGCCACTTACGGTCAGTTAAAGTCCATCAGTCGAACTGATATCAGTTCAAACGGATTTAAACCAAAGAAATTACCACACACACACACACACACACACACACACACACACACACACGCACACGCACACGCACACGCACACGCACACGCACACGCACACGCACACGCACACGCACACGCACACGCACACACACACGCACACGCACACGCACACGCACACGCACACGCACACGCACACACACACGCACACGCACACGCACACGCACACGCACACGCACACGCACACGCACACGCACACGCACACGCACACACACACGCACACGCACACGCACACGCACACGCACACGCACACGCACACGCACACGCACACGCACACGCACACGCACACGCACACGCACACGCACACGCACACGCACACGCACACGCACACGCACACGCACACGCACACGCACACGCACACGCACACGCACACGCACACGCACACGCAAACGCACACGCACACGCACACGCACACGCACACGCACACGCACACGCACACGCACACGCACACGAGCACGCGCACATGGTATATCGTATCAACGGTAAATAACCTTATATTAATTTTGTTACAATTAAATTATTATATAAACGCATTTTTAAAGTTTTATTTTACAGTTAGTTTAGTTACGTTACCAAGATTAGGCCAGGGTTGGATTCAGACCATTAAAATATTGTATATGGAAAATAAAATACACTATTTTGCAAAAATTATATCACGTTTATGTTTCTTTTTTCCCATATGCCGGCATTTTGGCGTCACGCGTCTACTTGATCTAGATACACGTTTCGTTTTTTGACGGTTTTATTTTTATTTCTGTTTAACTTTTGTCTAAAGAACTTAGTGTAAGTTAAATTAAGAATATTGGTACCTAATATGTTTTATATTTAATAAGGGTAAAACGAAAAGAATACCAATGAAACCATATCTGCTTAATTTTTTTGTTTAAAAAAAAAGAATATTAACAATGCTATGAACATTACTAATATTCACCTTAATCACTCGTGGTAAGCTCATATTGCTTGTTACGAATGGTTCAAATTGCTTGTGTTACGAATCGATCTGAAAATCTGATATATAAAATATTTTGAAATTCTGTTTTCAAACCGATTGCTTCTGGAGCATA